ATGTGTCCCTCATCATCATCTTTGATTGTATTCCTTAATATCGTATCACACAACACAAAGAGTGTTGTCGCCATGAGATTACACATTCAAGTCTCAAGTATTTTGGAACATTGATACTGTTAAAAGAGAGAATAGTGGTATATTGAGCATAAAACCATGTTAGTATAACTAGGGATACATGATTATATAGGTTTATTGTATTCATCATGGTTCTTAAATCCGGACCAGCCATCAAACCAGTGAACATATGGGTTTAGGGTTCAAAGATTCAATTAGGGTTTGACCAGGATTTAAACCAGAGTTGAACCGGGTTTAACAAAATAATATATTTTAATAATATAATAATATATTAAACTTAAAATAAGTTTATCACAACATAATTACAATTTCAATCCAATATAAATATTATTTAAAAAAGTATTATATAATAATAAGAATGATTTATAGAATACATAAAGAAAAATAACATGAAAAAACATATCTTCAAACACTTGGAGTACAAAGCAATTAGAGAGAAAAAAAAATTTGTCACAGCATCTAACTTGAAAATAATTAGGGAAAAAATTACATCTAACTTGAAAATAATTAAGGGAAAAAAACTTACCATATATTTCATTGCATCCAACATCAAATTTTATACATTTTATTTTAGACATGGTTATGGAATCCAAGGATAACTCACTGACCACTCATCAAATTAATTTTCGAAAATAAGAGATTGTGATTTTTACATGTTATTGTATTTCCATGAATGATTGTACTGATGATATTAGCACACAATGATGGCAATAAGGGCAGCGCCAGAATGAGACAATCAAAAGTAGTAGGTGGCATTGACGATGACAGTTATAAAAACGAAAACTGTAATAAAAGAAGAATATCACTACCAATACAAAAAACAACTTTATTTTTTCACGTTTGTGTCTCTATATTAAACTAAAGAAAAAAAATATAGGACAAAACGACGTCATTTAGCTCTTTTTAAAAAAAGAAAAAAAGAAAAACCCGGGTGACCCCTTGACCTATCCTGTTTCATCGGTTTTTAACCGGTTTTTGACTGGTTCATTATTTATCTGATTTTTAGGAAGCTGCAGACCGGTTATCGCTCCAGTTCCGGGTCCAACTGGTCTAACCGCCCGGTCCAGTTTTGATATCCATGGTATTCATTACGCATTATTAAAGGATACTTTGTTTCTCCTAAGAGAGATATTCGTGCCTATAAACAAAATATTAGAAAGTGGATTTGAACCTAGCTCAACCTACGAAACTAACTTATAAGATGAGATTTGGAGCTTACTTGTATATTATAATTTGGTGATATCACTCGTTGATTTAGGATCTGTAACACCCGCTTCACACTAGACATTGGACATTTTGAGACCGTGGAACTGGATATTATTAATTGTCCCATTGCAAACAAATAATGGGTGGCACAATATGCCCAACAAACATCACTATGATAGGTTTTGATATTACATGAGAAAATGGATTTGAACTAAAGTCAACATTGATTGTAAGATGAAGTTTGCACCCTATTTATATTCTATAATTTGACCGTAGCTTTGCTCAATGTAGGAGCTCCAACGCTAAATTTATTATAATAAGATCCATAATATTGTGTTTGATTCTCAAACAAACACCACTTCCATCGGAGATCCTACATTGACTAAAGAAATAACCAACTTATAATATATAATTGAGATTCAAACCTGAACTTACCAATTAGTTTTATAAGGTTGATTTAAACACCCTCTCTTTCTAATATGGTATCAAAGTCTATTCTAACAAGATTTGGTGACTTTTATTCTACCTGTTATCTGACAACTATCCAATCACCCTTAATATTCAGTTTCATAATCTTGAGATGTTCATTCCTTAGCGTGACAAGGTGTTTTGAAGATATCATATCGACTAGAGATATAACAAATTTATAATATATAATTAAGATGTAAATCTCACCTTCCAAGCCAATTTTGTAAGGTTGAATTAGGTACCTTTCTATTTCTAAAAATATCTAAGTATTATTCCAATGATACAATTAGAAGAGCAATTGCTCTTAATATATAACACAAAAGATTTAATAAAGTAAATTCCTAAACTGATAATTCATAAAGTTGAGGGTCAATGATTCTTGAACAATAAATATAAAAAGAACAGCTGCCTATTCTCCAAAATATAGACATCCCAAGAACACAATTACGCAAAGTTACATGCAGAAAAGAGAAATTTGTTCCCACCAAATTCCAATTCAGAAAGCTATTCAATGAAAGCAGATAATGCAATCGTAAACCGATCAATTGGTTTAACTATGATCATGTGACTAATTAGCTCTTAAAGGTAAAATTCAATAACCACATTTCCTCTAAGATTTTCAGGACAAAAATTTGGATACTTAAATGAAAATGCACTATTTTATATGGCAAAGGTAAAAATTATCTTGATGAAGAAAATCCAACACTCTTAATGGCAGGAGTAACAGCAGCAGCAAGAAATCACATAAAAATAATTTCAAACAAGTTTGGATGGAGGAAATTCATTTACTATTGTGGCATTTCCTGCTGATGAGATATCCCTAGTGATACAAAAAATAATTAAAAGAACTCATAAGTCAGAATACTTACCATGTTTTTGGGAAAGATATACTGATCAAGGGGTACACTGTTTGCAGTTTGTTCCAAACCCAAGATAGAAAATCCTTCTTTCTTTTTTTTCTGCAAGTAAGCCTTTATGCTATCTACTGGGACTTCTATTATAGGAACCCACTTTTCAGCTGTCACACTGCAATGAACAAACGAATTTTGGAAAGATTGAGAAAATAAGAGTGCAATGAATTAAATCATTCTATAACATGAGACATATCATATACATATATTCATATATATATATATATATATGAATTTTCAATTCATTTGAATTTGCATCTGCAATTACATTTTTATTGCTCTTGAATTTAAATTTGAATTTGAGTTTGCAGAGAATTACTAATAACAACTTATTGTATTTTTTTTCTTTTAGTATCACTATATATTTCTTTCAATAAGGTAATAAATGAAAAGTCTTGAAGAAGACGTCAGACTAAAAAATGATCATATTATTATTAGCCAATTTGGGAACATGAAGGACACTGCTCAAGGACAGGGGTGGCTGAACTTGAATGTTGCTCGATCCAATAATAATAGGAGAATGAGAAGAATGAGAAGATGAGAAGAATGTTGCTCGACCCAATTAACAACGTAATGTGTTGTTCCTTTCCAAACTATGTGGAGTAAGATGAGAAGAATGAGGCAAAAGGTGTGATGTAATCAGTTAGCCCAGAGTCAAGGATCCAAATATGTTGAGTAGCTATACCAGAGACATTGAAAAAACTTTTACTTTTCAAAGGTTAGGTGTTAGAGGGCCTACGATCTAATCAAGCCTGTACAGTTTACAATTCCAACAAGGATGGGAGGCCTATGGGACATGGATTGGAAGAAGGTTTGACACATCTCTTCAACCATGGCAAGAATGAGGCAGCAGTGGCATTCCTTTGACTAAAGGAACAGAGGTTGTTTGTAACCTTTTCTGTAGTGGCACCAACTAGTGGTGGGCATTATAGGAGGGTGCCACGTGACTTACATGCATCCATAAAAAATGAGGCATGTGCAGCAAATGCTAGTCGTGTTGCTACGAGAATGTATCAATACAAATGTGGCACTCCTCCCAATGTGGCATTGGTCCAATTAGTAATGATGATGACAACAAAAACAAAGGTCCCAAGATTGGGAGCTCTAATAGCAACTTCAAAAGAAAAGAATTTACGTTAAATATCACTTGGATAACTATCGTGTTTTAATTAGGTAGCATCAGTGGTTGACATTTCCTTAGTTAGGCCCATAACACTGGTATAAATAACAGTAAGTCGTATTGATTCATCATCTTTATTATTTCAATCAATTCAATGAGTTACTTTACTTGTATGGAACTCCTCTCCTATTTTTGAGCTCTATGACTTGTAACCAAATCAAGTTGATGTGATTTGCATCTCTTCTCAATTTTCTACGTCTGTATCTCTCACCTCTTGCGCTATCTTTTTGTATCATTTACAGTCAAACTCAAACACTAGGATGTTAACAGGGTTCTCTTGTGGAGAGAGCAATGATTTCACTACAAAATAAGAGAAAGAGAGGGAAACTAAAGTTGTGATTACTTATGATTTGGTGTGGCTTCTGTATGCAACACGCTGTCCTTTTTTTCTCTTATTAATATAGTAAAAAGAAAAATTTATTCTCTTTATGTAATTTTACTTTTGTTCTTGTTTGTAAATCAAGCTCATTGCGATACAACTAATGAGCTTGCATGAAAGTGTTAAACATCACTTGAACCATTGTTATTTTCAACAGTGTACGTTGGTTAGGAATTACTCAATGGTTAGGATTAGTTTGGCACATAACACTAGTTTAAATAAGCGTTCTGCACTCATTCATCATCCTTTATCATTTCAATGAATTCAATTAGTTACTTCTGTGAAATATTTCCTAGTTTTTAGCTCTATGGTGTGTGGTCACATCAACTTCGTGTGATTTTCATTTCTTCTTAATTTTCTGATGACATTAAAAAGAGAAATGGAATATTATTTTGTGAGTGAAAGAGGGTAATCTAAACATTTTATAAAGAAGTATGAAAAGTATGAAAGAAAATAAAACTATCATAATAATTACAAATACAAGGAAATTTCTGTTCAATTTTCAACACATTATATGCCAGTATGTCCACTATAGCACATAAAAAAACATGAAATCTCAAGTAAACTCGTTTTTATTTTTTATTTACCCCTTTTAAAGTTAAACTCATATAAGAAATCTCCGGTCAATCATCTAACATCCCTGTTCTCTAATGTTTGAGCATTTAGAATTATTAGTGGTCCAACAGTATTTCCCTTTTGACAGTTAAGCAAAATTCAAGTAGTAAATCCACTCAATGTTTGTGATAGCTATAAAGCACAAAAAGAAATTCTCCTATCATCAAAACCTGATTAGTTGGAACTGTTTGTCATTCGTGACTTTTGTATCAGCAATGGCCAGCCCCGATGCCCTAAATACCTGCATTACACAAAAATAGGAGTGAAGAAAATACAGCGTTTTTCTTCAAAAATAGAAAATGAAAAAGAAATTTAAACATTAGTGTAGATAAGTTTCACAAATGGAGCAGATTGAGTAACTTACCTCACATGTACGAGCCAAACCAGCAAGATTGGGTATGCGGTCAAGCAATGATGCAACAAGGATAAAATTCTGTCGACTTGCTTTTTGTTGATCTATGGATGATCTTCTTGACTGCAACAATTGGTCAAGAAGGAGATCATCCCTCTCTATCTCTGTCATGGTGATCTTGAAATTAATTAATGGTAAATACAAAACAATGAATCACATTCAAAAAATACACACACAATACAAGGTCATAATTATACAGTCAAAACATGGTGTTATCAGCTCCTTTTCATATCTTTATAATTTGCTGAACAAATTCAAACATACCAGCCATCTTTTTGTAGGTTTCGTCATTTCCATAAAGGAAACCAGATGCATTGTCCCCCTTGTCATGTTTGGCAAAAGTAACCTTCTTCTGGAAATCTGAAGAAATATCTTTCGGCATGGTTCCTTCAATGCCACCAGATGTATTTTCCACGCTGTTCTTATCCCCATGGAAATTGAGAGTCTCATTCCTGATTGTCACCAGATCCTTTGCCATAGAACATCGTAGGTCTTCCCGAGCATCCTATAACAACAGAAAGGAAATACTTACAAGATGAAATAAAAACTATGGCCTTTTACTTTCAGATAAGTACGGCAAAGTACTTACATTTAAAAATTTGAGCACCTGCTCCATGAGGGATGTTGGAACACATTCAAAACCATCCTCCTTCACACCAAAAAAGAGAGAGAATAAACAAATCTATCATAAAAGCAGAAATAAGCTCATTCATATTGACTACACACATTGCAATAGACTCTGCTTATCAGATAGTGATTTATCTAATGACATTACAGCCAGCTTTTTTAGTTCAATTGAGAAATAAATAAATGTTTCAAGTCAATGAGGGGTACCGGGATAGGCTACATATGAAACAATACGATTTAAATAATAAAGCCTTGAAGACGAGTATTAGAAACAAAGCACATAGGGTAATTATATTTTCTACAGCAATATGTAATTCATAAGGGTAACTATAAATCATTGTACGTATTATTTTCATCATAAATAATATTCACAGCTATGTAATTTACACACATGTATTTCACCATGTCTCATTTATCCTAGTGGAAGTGGGTGGGTGTTGATTGCAGAGTGTGGAAACCACCTTACTAAGGGAAATGTATTCGATCAGTTTTTATTTATTTTAGATTCTAAAGAGGGGAGTTGTATCTCAACTTTTCTCCCAAACTCCTCCCTCCCCTCCCCAAATGGGCACTTTTAGTGTTTCGTAAGTCAAGCATTAGCTTATAAGCTAATTTGACTAGCATATGAGCTAGTTTGAACAAATTATGCTTGTTGGGGACACAGGCTTACTTTAGTAGCTGCTAGGTTATTTTAATAAGCTACTTAAAGTAGCTTAAGAAAAATAAGTTACCTTGTAAGCTACTATAATTTCATTAACTAGTTTTACCAAACACTTTCAGCTAGCTTAGAAGCTATTAACTAGCTTACCAAGCACACTTTCGAGGGCAAAAACCAGTTTTCTAAAATGCTTCTCTGTAGTGCTGCTATAAAGAGACTACTTTTGGCATGATCGAAGCTGTAATGGCCACTATTACAGTCAAAATCATGTGTTACTCATTGTGTATTTTAGGAAGTTCATATTTTATCCTACTGTTATTTTATTTTTCTATTACAATCATATCTTGCTAATTAATATTAGGATTACGTATTTAGAAACAATCCCGAAATCACAGGGATTTGTCTCCTTAGAATTAGTTGTCCATCTTTCCTAAAATAACTGGTAGACGCATGTATTTATAGGTCCAATGACATCATAATTGATACAATAAAATAGAATATTATTCCTTTCAAATTTGAGATGGTATCGAAGCTCCTAATCTTTGGGTGCCTTTGATCTATGACTGTAAACCCTAAGATTCAGCTTTCATTGCTTCGCTTACTTTAGCCCTAGCACAATCTTCCTTGTTGTGCAACCCATTCCACCATGAGCACACCAACCTACAATGGCTGAGATTGTAAATCATGATATGGAAACTGGAGACATATCCTAGACTATTGAAGAATTGCAAAATGTTCATTCTGCTTAACATTTAAATGAAAAGAATTATCCCAAATACTCTCAACTCTAGAACCATCTTGAAAGGAAAAGGAAAGGTCATTCATCTAACAGAGATGCCCCTGATGACAATGATGTCAAGTTCAAATCGTGGGATGAAGAAGACTCCATGATTCTGGTATGGCTGTGGAATTTAATGGTCCCAAAAATCATCATAGGAAATTTGGGAGGCAATAGAACAAACTTATTCTAAGTACAAGGAAGCTGCTCAAAGCTATGAAGTAAAGGTGAAAATTGTGGCTTCAAAACAAGGAAAACAAATCAGTTACAGATATGTCAATCAACTCAAGTCCCTATGGATGGAATTAGAACACTATCGAGTTAAAAAAGGTAAAGTGTTCAAAAGATTCGCCAATCCTTAAGGAGTATATTGAAAAAGATAGAGTCTATGATTTTTGGTAGGCTTGAACCCTGAATATGATTAGGTTCGGATCCAAATCCTGGGAAAAGTGAAAGTCCTAGGACTTAATGAAGTGGTAGTCATTATCATGAGTGAAGAAAGCAAAAGAGGGCAAATGTTGGAGACGTCAACCTAAAATTTCAGCAATGTAGCTGAAGGTGGAACAACCGTGATTGCTAACCAGTGGAAAAGTGGGGTTCCCAATATGAGGTGTGTGAGTTTGCTAAACACAAGAGTGTACCTTTTCCCATTAGCAATAAGATGAATCATTTTCCTTTCTTTCATGTTCATACCAATGTGTGGGGTCCCACTAATGTTCCTAATATCTCAAGTAGTAAATGGTTGATAACCTTTATATTTGATTGCACGCGGATGACCTGAAATTAAAGAAAGAACAAAACCTAAACCCCAAACATCTTGAACTAGCAACAAAACCTACACCTAAACTTCTTGAACTAGTCTTTGAAGCATATATAGATGCAGATTATGTGGGGTCAGCCGTGGATAGGAGATCCACTACTAAATATTGCACCTTCCTTGGTGGAAACCCAATGACTTGAAAGAGTAAAAACACAGAGTGTAGTAGCTAGATGAAGTTCTGAAGCAGAATTGTGAGACATGGCCCAAGGAATATGTGAACTTCTATGGCTAAAGATTATATTAAAAGACATGAAGATAAAGTGGGATGAATCTATGAGGCTATATTGTGATAAAAAATCTGCAATTAATATAGTCCACAATTGGATATTGAGGTGAAAAGACATTTTGTCAACTCAGAGTCAACTTGTAGAAATACTCACCAAAGGACTAAACTGTATTAACCTTGAAAGAATTATATCCAAGTTGGGAAAGGAAAAATCTTACCAGCTTGAGGAGAAGTGTTAAAACTGTGTTACTCATTGTGTATTTTAGGAAGTTTTATATTTTATCCTTGCTGTTATTTTATATTTTGTTACAGTCATATCTTGCTAATTAATACTGGGATTATATATTTAGAAACAAACCCATTATCACAGGGATCTGTCTCCTTAGAATTAGCTGTCCATATTTCCTAGACTCATGTATTTATAGGTCCAATGACCTCATAATTGATACAATAAAGTAGAATATTATACCTTCTAAATTTGAGAATTACAAAATGTATTCCTATGCAATGTTCTGTACTGGACCATGTCCATTCCACACATATACCTGTTAAACTACTATATCAACAAGTGTAGTGTATGCATGGTGGACACACTGCCCACCAATGGGTACTGTTTTCAGTAAATCATATTTCAACTTCAGTTTCCGTTCTTCTCTTCAATGAGGTAATTTCATCAATACACCCAGTGTCAGAGTTGCAGAACTAAATGATGGCGGTGGACAGTGACATTATCAGGAACCAAGAATTGAAATTAGAAAGAAAAGAAGGTGTTTTTTAATAGAGTACTCTCTTCTCCAAGGGTTTCTCCTTCACAAAGGATTTCTTCTTTCACAAAGTGTTAATACTCAATCTACAAATAAGCAAATCTCCACTCCCTTTCCCCTTACATCCACCTATTTATTTAACTCATTAACCCCCTAACTAACTAATTGATATCCTGATTGTATTATTTTCCCATAGTCCTAACAGACTCACGCATGACCAGAATAGAGAAAAGGCAGAGCAAAATCAAAACCACTCCGGTACAAAGTTTAAGACAAAACTTTGATGAATTACATATATTTATATAAATTTCATAATAATCACATTTAAGAGCAGTAAAAATAAATGGAATGCCCAAAGTACATTAAATAATCACAATGCATACTGTTGGAAATCAACATATAATAATTAGAATAATTCAATTCTAATTTGTACAGGTCATAATAGGATTTAATGCTAATATAACCAGTTTTTATTTCTTTATTTATGTACAACATTTATAGGGAGAATATTTTCCTGATTTTCAGGAATAGATTAGTGTACAGGTTTGTTACCTTGTATTCTATTTATATCTCCTTTGTATTTTTTTTTTGGCCGGAATAAGAAATACACAACGTATTTTTCACATGATATCAAAGCTCAATCTGAACCAACCTAACCTAGCGCCGCCAACCATGGAAGAAAACAAGGCAGAAGGTTCGGCCATCAATTTGGTGATAGGGCATGCTCTTCCTATCATTGGTCACAAATTGAATGGCCAAAATTACCCTCAATGGGTGCGGTTAATTAATATCTTTCTTCAAGGAAAAGGGAAGGAAGGTTACATTACAGGAGACTCCAAGTGTCCAAAAGAGGGTGACCCTAACCTCAACAAATGGCAACTAGAAAACAGTTTAGTCATGTCATGGTTACTTAATACCATGACTAATGAAATTGGGGAAAATTTTCATGTACTATGACACTGCCAAGGAGATGTTGAATGCAATAAAGGAAACTTACTCAAATGTGAACAATACATTTGTGGTATTTGAGATCAAGAACATACTCCATGACCTACGACAAAGTGATTTCTCAGTCACTGAGTATTTTAATACATTCAGCCAACATTAGCAGCAACTAGACATATATGAAGACGTTCAATGAAATTGTGTCGAGGATAAGAAGAAGTATAAATAATTGGTGGAGAAAGATAGGATCTACAAGTTCCTATTGGAGCAAAACACAGAACTTGATGAAGTCTGAAGGAGAATCCTTGGAACCAAACCTCTTAAAACAATCCGGAAAGTATTTTCAAAAGTGAGAAGGGAGGAGAGTAAGAGGAAATTATGCTTGGAAAGTCAAGTGCAGCCCCACCCATTGAAGGCTCGGTAATGGCAGCAAGGGAGAATCAACCCCATCCATTTCAAAAGAGAAATTGGCCGTAGTGCGATCACTGCAAGAAATTGGGGCAAACTAAGGACACCTGCTGGATCATTCATGGCAAACCTTCAGCGACGAAACAGACAAAAAACCTAGACAGCAGAGGCAACATAGTAGAGGTAAATTTTAATCCATCTCCATTCAGAAAGGAGCAAATGCAAGCACTACAAAAAATTCTACAGCAAACCACTAGTACAGCTGCAGTAGCACAAAAAGGTAATTTCTTGCATGCTCTAAATAATAACCCAGGAAAATCAAAGTCATGGATCTTTGATTCAGGAGCGTCAAATCACATGATTGGAGACTTTGTTTAAAAGTTATTCTCCATGCCTAAATAATTACACAGTTTGGATAGTTGATGGGACTCTTTCTGAAGTCATGGGTATAGGTTCAGTTATTATCTCACAAAATATTACCTTGAAATCAGTCCTTGATGCGCCTAAACTTGACTGTAATTTGCTGTCTATTAGCAAACTGACAAAAGATTTAAAGTGTGTCACTAAATTTTTCCCTAACCTATGTGAATTTCAAATTTTGGAGACGGGGGAGACGATTGGCAATGCTAAAGAATGTGTTGGACTCTACTGCCTCCAAACTGAAGCGTCAGAAACGGAACCCAAGGCCAACTCTTGGCAGTGGTACCTCAAAATAGTAAAAATTTCGTAATATTGTGGCAGTATCAACTTGGCCACCCAAATTTTATATACTTAAGAAGAATGTTTCCCACATTATGCCAATAAAAATCAATAGTTGTTTCATCACTTTCTAATCCACCTTTTCACTAATTTCCTAAATTTCCTACAAGATTCTAACCCTAAAGATCCTAAGTCAGCCCTTGTGCAAATGAGGTTCATATCACAACACCTCATTGGCAATTATGTGTCCTATGGAAAATTGTCACACGGGTATAAGTCTTTTGTGGCAACTCTTGACAACATACATATCCCAAGGAATGTTCAAGAGGCACTCCAACAACCTGAATGGGCAACAGCTGTAACAGAAAAAGTCCAGGCTTTGGTTAAAAATGGCACATGGAAATTCACCACCCTATCAAAAGGGAAGAAATCTATTGGATGCAAGTGGATATTCTCCATCAAATACAATGTTAATGGTAGTGTAAACCATTAGAAAGTCCAACTGGTGGCAAAAGGGTTTACCCAATCGTATGGAATGGACTACAAAAAGACTTTTGCACCGATGGCCAAACTCAATTCAATCCGAGTCATACTCTCTTTAGTTGCAAATTTAGATTGATCACTTTATCAACTAAACATCAAGAATGTCTTCCTAAACAGTGAACTAGAAGAAGAAATCTATATGCAAATTCCTCGGGGACTTGAATCATCCAAAACCTCAACACATGGTGTATAGGCTCCGAAAATCTTTCTATGGCCTTAAGCAATCTCCAAAAGCATGGTTTGATAGATTGACTTACGTTGCCAAGGAAGATGGATTCAACCAATGCCAATCAGATCACATAACCTTGTTCATTGTTTATGTTGATGATATCGTTATCACAGGAAACGATTGTGAACAAATCAAGCATTTGAAGGGGCTTTTGGCCAAGGAATTTGAAGTCAAGGACTTGGGCCAGCTCAAATACTTTCTAGGGATGGAAGTTGCTCGGACGAAGAATGGTATTTATGTATCACAAAGGAAATATACACCGGACATACTTCAAAAAACTTACATGCTTGGGTACAAGGCAACCAATACTCCCATAGAACTGGAAAAGAGAGGTGAAGATGAAAGTCCACCAACTGATAAAGATAGATATCAAAGACTAGTTGGGAAACTAATCTACCTAACTCACACCAGGCCCGACATTAGGTTTGTTGTTAGCTTGACTAGTAGCTATACATCTAATCCAACTAAGGCAACCATGAAAATGGCAAACCGAATACTACAATACCTTAAAGATATTGTAGTCTATACCGATTTGGATTGGGTAGGATGCCCCTTTGACAGGAAATCAACTACAAGTTATTGTTCCTTTGTGTGGGGAAACTTGGTGACTTGGAGAAGCAAGAAGCAGCCTGTGGTGGCAAGGAGTAATGCAGAAGCTTAATTCAGAGCTATAATTCAAGGTATCTGTGAAGGAATCTGGCTTAAGAGGATGTTGAATGAAATTAGAATTCCTATCAATAACACTATGAAGATAATGTGTGACAACATAACAGCTATAAGCATTGCAAAGAACCTAGTCCACCATGATAGGACAAAGCATGTGGAAATTGACCGGCACTTCATTAAAGAAAAAACTGACCATGGTATTATAAGTATTGACCATGTCCCATCATACCGACAAACATCAGATATCCGGACAAAGGTTCTTCTAAGGAACACATATGAAAATATTAGATCAAATTTAGGTGTGATAGACATCTACCACCCAGATTGAGGGGGAGTGTTGGAAATCAATGCATATCAATTAGAATAATTCAATTCTGATTTGTACTGGCAATAATAGGATTTAATGCTAATATAATCCGTTTTTATTTATTTATGTACAACATTTATAGGGAGAATATTTCCCTGGTTTTCAGGGATAGATTAGTGTAGGTTTGTTACCTAAACATACACAATGTATTTTCCCCACATACATCTGAATATTCATGTATCCAAGATTTTAATACAAAAATTCCCAATATATAACCCTGTTTCCAACCGTAAGACTTCTAGTAAACTAACAAGATCGCAAACTATTAAGAAAGCCCAAGGGTGAATGTAAGCAGGTCCAAGAGAGATGCACTTACGAGTTGTAAAACAGAATTATTTAGTTTTGTAAGGCTGATGCAGGGGGATTTCTATTTAAAAAGGAGGGTGTGTGTGTGTGTGTGTGTGTGTGTATATATATATATATATATATAAATGTTAAGGAAGGTTCAATTGCCAACAAGATATCCACCACAGGATAAATTACATGTTTTCAGGTGGAAATTTGCTGACATAGTAAAGTACGACAAGTTGTAATATCCAGTACAGAGATAGAATTTAAAGCTATGGCTCAAAGGGAAATGTTACTAAATTAGACATCTAGTGTATATATATATATATAAATGTTAAGGAAGGTTCAATTGCCAACAAGATATCCACCACAGGATAAACTACATGTTTTCAGGTGGAAATTTGCTGACATAGTAAAGTACGACATGTTGTAATATCCAGTACAGAGATAGAATTTAAAGCTATGGCTCAAGGGGAAATGTTACTAAATTTGACATCTAGTGTCATTTGATCTTGTCCATATATGACAAGATTGCCTGGGAAATTGAACCACACTATAACATGTGTTTGACTGATCCAAAACTGAAACAATCAAATATTAACATAATTGAGATTTCTATTCCAAGGGTAGCATTTGTGTATTTGTCTATATACATGATTTCACAAGCACAGACCCTCACCTCAACTCGATTAATGAAAATTCCAGCAGGTGTGACAGAGCTAGTTGGGTCATAAGCATCAAGATATCCTTCCATTGATGTTCGTAAGCTGAAAGATTATGTAAATTAACAAATTTAGTCCAATAGAAAGCGGTACAGAGCAATGAGTTTAGTCCATTTATATTAGAAGGAAAGGAGAATTTGGACTAATGAAAAATGATATTGAGCTGATTGCACAATTTAAAATGTAAGACATTAAACATCTATGTTATACAAGTAATTGGATCATATACTAGTATTGCACTACAAGCTCAACACCAATCAAACAAAAAACTAGGAAACATAATCAAAATTAGAAAACTCCCAAGATTGTATTACCAATTAGAGGACTAATAAGTTCCACTCTATATTCTACATACTGGAAGCCTTATATATAAAAAAAGTAATAATAAAAGAATCAAATAGCATCCTAATGAGCATAATTACAAGATATTGTTATTTTATTTACATAAGACATTCTAACTGTACTCAAGGAGATTAAGGGTCTGTTTCATTTAGTTCTGTTTTTTAATTTTTAAAACAGTTTTAATAATTAATGTCAAAGAACTATTTTTAAGAATAAGTTAAAAAAAAAACGATAACTCACGGTTTGAAAGAAGGCGAGTGATGTAGTGCACTGATGGTGGAGACAGAAAATTAAAAATAGAAAACACCTTTATCAGTTTTCATTTTTTAGTTTCTAAAAATTAAAAAACAAAAAGTTTTTGAAAACTATTTCAACAAAACAAGTTATCAAACAAGTTTTTTTTTTTAATTTTCAATAACTAAAAACTGTTTTTAAAAACAAACAAAGACGCCCTACTTACTTTTAGATAGTCATATTCCTATTTGCATTCTTCTCTTGACTTAATCTAATGAAGTGCAAAATTAAGGATAAAACATAATATACATGGAAAGCCTTATAAAAATGACTTATAATATTGGAAATCTACATACACACACAAAAGAAAATAAAAATTTACATATATAGGTGTATAACAAGGGAAACAAAAACTAAGAATACTACCGTGCACAATCAGAATTTCTTGCAAGGTATGTCTTCAAATCTACAAAGCACCTCTTCTCTAAAGGTAGAATCTCAGAAGGTCCATAATTCAACAATGGAAACAGTTTATGTAGAATTTGATATACAAGTAACTGCAAAAACAATCACAGATATCATGACCCATTTATTTTAGTGCTATGCGTGTGTGACACACACAGTAATCAACATCAATAATTCGTAAATGATAACCTGCGTAAAACCACGTAAGCTGTGATGATGTGATGTTAGCAATGGAACTAGAGGAGGAAACAATTCATTCAAATGACTAGATTGAACATCTTTTGATGAGTTGAGGATGACATTAGCTGCTATGAACACATATGAAGATAATGCCTGAATTTTAAGAGTAAAAATTAGAAGACTTCAATAAGCATAAAGCAGTGTGTGAGTATTGCATTAGTCAGGTTTCTATTACTGTGTACCTAGATAACGAAAGTGTATGCATCTTTCTATTATTGTGCAGTTAGTTAGTATTGTTAGATATGATTAGATATTAGTTGATATTGTTTGATATTGTTGAGATATTATAAATACACTGCCCTATGTGTGGTAAATACATAAGGGAAATTAACCCTATACAGTTTTTCCCTATATTCAACATGGTATCAGAGCCAAAACCTAACATCTTTCCGGTTATTGTCATGGGCCAAAAGTTGCCCTTTAGTTGGGTCAAAAGTATCCTTTGTCTGGTCCGGCAGGCTTCGTTGGAGGGTGTGTGTTGAAAGTCCCACATCGCCTACCTCATGTCATTTGGTATGATTTCAATACATGTTAGGCTACTCCACATATTGCCAATTGGTTTTATGTTAGAACCTTAACATGGTATCAAGAGCTTAAGGTCTCTTGGGATTTTTTTTTTCGGCTCTGCCACTGAACCTGCAGCTGTCGCCGCCTCCATCGCCACCGCCGTCGCCACCGCCGTCCGCCGCCGCTACCGCCGTCGCCAGAGTAGCAGTTCGGACCGCCGAGCACAGGGTTTTGCTCGCCTCCTCCGTGCGACCTCCACCGTGGAAGTTTCGCGGTCATCGGAGCAACCACGCTCCCTCACGCGCCTCCCGAAGCCGCGCCTCCTTCTCCCGTTCCGCCGCGCGTGGCGGCGCGTCTCGCCGCCGTTCAGGCCGCCGATCTTTGCGCCGGCGTCGCCTCCTTCTCCTCTCTCTGGATCTGTCCTCGCTGCTCCAATCGGACCTCTTTGGTGTTTTAGGGTTTTTCTCTCTCTTCCTCCATGGCATCTTCCGCTGCCACTTCCAATTCTGAAGTTACCTCTGTCAGCTCCGGTGGGTCTGAGCAATCTGTTTTTACTAATTATGTCAATGTGAATTTACCCATTGATAAATTAGATGGTACGAATTATGCAACTTGGGCATCTGATATTAGACTTTGGCTTGAGAGTCAGGGGTATGTTGATCATCTTACTACCAAGGTAGATGATGTTCCTTCCAATGATCGTGTCCGTTGGAAGAAAGTTGATGCTCATATATGTATGGTTCTCAAGAATACCATCCAATCTTCTTTAAAACAAATTTTTCGATCGTATGGCACATGTTATGACGTTTGGGAACAAGCCAAATTATTATACACCAATGACAAATCTGCTATCTTCAATGATTTTCTTCAATGGTATGAGGATCGAAAGCCCTCCAGTTCCACTACTTCTGTTGCCCACACAGGTACATCTTTTGCTGGTCTGACTCACTCTTCTTCTATTGGCCCTTGGGTTCTTGACTCAGGCGCCACCGATCACATCACTGGTAACAAATCCTTATTTTCCTCTTTCACTTCTTCTCATAATTTACCCTCTGTTACAATGGCTAATGGGTCTACAACTTTAGCTCATGGTGTTGGAACGGTTACTCTTTTTCCCTCGTTGTCCATTGATAATGTTTTGTATGTACCCGGGTCCCCCTTTAACTTATTATCCATTAGCCGTCTAACTCGATCTCTTGATTGTGTTATCTCTTTTACCAAAACTTCTGTTTCCCTACAGGACCAGAGCTCGCAAAGAGTGATTGGCACCGGATGTGAGTCACATGGACTTTATTATCTTCAACCTTCTCCACATGTTGGCACAGTTATGGAGTCTCCTTCTCTCCTTCATGCTCAGCTTGGTCACCCTAGTCTGCGCAAATTACAAGCAACTTGTTCCCAGCTTATCCCAGGTTGTCCAATTTGGTGTGTGAGTCCCGTCAGTTAGGCAAACATAGTCGTACTTCCTTTTTTCGTAGTGTTTCCCAGCGTGCTTCATCCCCCTTTGCCTTAGTTCACTCTGACATTTGGGGACCCAGTCGTGTTAAGTCTAATTTAGGTTTTCAATATTTTGTTACTTTTATTGATGATTTTTCTCGTTGTACTTGGTTATTTTTAATGAAAAATCGTTCTGAGTTGTTTTCTATATTCCAAAACTTTTATCATGAAATTAAAAATCAATTTGGTGTCTCTATTCAAACTTTTCGAAGTGATAATGGCCGTGAATATCTTTCAAACTCGTTTAAACAATTTATGGCTTCTCATGGCATTCTTCATCAAACTTCCTGTGCTTATACCCCTCAACAAAATGGGGTGGCTGAGCGCAAGAATAGACACCTTATTGAAACAACCCGTACTCTTTTAATTCATGGTGAGGTTCCTCAACATTTTTGGGGTGATGCTGTTCTTACTGCCTGTTATCTTATTAATCGTATGCCCTCTTCGGTTTTAGATAACAAAATTCCCCATTCTATTTTATTTCCTCATGACACTCTCCATCCTTTACCTCTGAAGGTTTTTGGGTCTACCTGTTTTGTCCACAATTTTGATCCTGGTCATGATAAGTTATCTCCTCGATCACACAAATGTGTTTTCTTAGGATTTACTCGATCCCAAAAAGGATACAAGTGTTTTTCTCCTTCTCTTAATCGCTATTTTGTGTCTGCCGATGTCACCTTCAATGAGTTTTCCTTTTACTTTAAGGACCCTTCCCTACCTGCTGAGTCTCCATCTGCTACAGTTCTCATTCCTATTCTCATTGATCCTTATGTTGAGGACCATCCACCATTAGCCCCTCCTCCTCCACCACCCCTTCAGGTTTATAGTCGCAGACCTCGCCCACAACAGACGCCACATGACTCACTCCCAGTGCCAAATACTCTGCCTCCTCCGGTTCCGTCCACGTAGTCCGACCTTCCTATTGCCCTTCGTAAAGGTACGCGTTCTACTCGTAATCCTTCTCCACATTATACCTGCTTTAAGTTATCATCGAATTTCTTCACCATTTTATACCTGTCTCTCGTCTATTTCTTCCGTGTCTATTCCTAAATCTGTCTCTGAAGCCTTAGCCCACCCTGGTTGGCGTCAGGCCATGCTAGATGAACTCGGTGCTCTTCAGACTAGTGGAACCTGGACGCTTGTCCCATTACCATCTGGAAAATCTGTTGTTGGTTGCAGGTGGGTCTTCGCTATCAAGGTTGGTCCTGATGGTACTATTGATCGCCTCAAAGCTCGCCTTGTAGCCAAAGGCTATACCCAAATTTTTGGGTTGGATTATGGTGATACTTTCTCTCCGATGGCAAAGATGGCTTCGTTCGTTTATTCATTGCCATGGCTGCTATTCAACAATGGCCTCTTTATCAACTGGATGTCAAAAATGCTTTCTTGAATGGCGATTTGCAAGAAGAGATTTATATGGAGCAACCTCCCGGATTTGTTGCTCGGGGAGTCTTCTGGATTGGTATGTCGTCTTCACAAATCTTTATATGGCCTAAAACAGTCTCCTAGGGCCTGGTTTGGAAAATTTAGCGACGTTGTTCAACAATTTGGCATGACTAGAAGTGAGGCGAGACCACTCGGTCTTTTACCGTCACTCGAATGCTTGGATGTATCTATTTGATAGTGTATGTCGATGACATTGTTCTTACAGGTAGTGACCATCATGGCATCTCTCGGATGAAACAACACCTTTGCCACCATTTTCAAACCAAAGATCTTGGCAAACTCGGATATTTCTTGGGTATTGAGGTAGCACAATCTACCGATGGCATTGTTATATCTCAAAGAAAGTATGCATTGGATATTTTGGAGGAAACTGGGTTGATGAATTCAAAGCCTGTTGACACACCCATGGATCCTAATACCAAACTCTTGTCAAATCGGGGGAGCCAATGTCGGATCCCGAACAAGTATAGAAGATTAGTTGGAAAATTAAATTATCTTACAGCTTACTCGCCCGACATTTCCTTTGCAGTCGGTGTGGTGAGTCAATTCCTCAATTCTCCTTGTCAAGATCATTGGAATGCAGTCATCCGTATATTGAAGTACATCAAAAAGTCTCCTGGAAAAGGTTTGGTGTATGACTCCCATAATCATACAAGAGTTGTCTCGCTATTCGGATGTCGATTAGGCAGGATCTCCTCTCGATAGAAGATCTACATCCGGGTATTGTGTTTCCATTGGTGGTAACTTGATCTCATGGAAAAGTAAGAAACAAAGTGTTGTGGCAAGATCCAGAGTGCGAAGCGAGTATAGAGCTATGGCCTCAGCTACCTGTGAACTTATTTGGCTCAAGCAATTGCTTAAAGAGCTACAATTTGGAGATGTCACTCAAATGACACTAGTGTGTGACAATCAGGATGCTCTCCATATAAGCTCTAATCCTGTCTTTCATGAGAGGACTAAACACATTGAGATTGATCTGCCATTTTATTCGGAAAAGATTATGTCTCGGAAACATCAAGACTGAGTTCGTTAACTCATGTGATCAATTAGCGAGATATTTTCACTAAGTCTTTACGTGGGACCTAGGATGGATTATCTTTGTACCAAGCTAGGCACATACGATTTGTATGCTCCAGCTTGAGGGGGAGTGTTAGATATGATTAGATATTAGTTGATATTGTTTGATATTGTTGAGATATTGTTAGATATTGTTAATCACAATATCAAATAATATCTTTTTATTTACCCTATTTGTATTCTGTTACTCTTTTGAGGAGTACCTTTCTTTATTATAAATACACTGCCCTATGTGTGGTAAATACATAAGGGAAATTAACCCTATATAGTTTTTCCCTATATTCAACAAGTATTGTACAGCTGTCACTATGACAGCTGTTACAATCTGTTATGCTCTATATAAGAGCATTTTGTATTCTGTTGAAACTAGCTTTTCAGAAATAACAAATTACAGTTTTCTCTTATCTTTCTCTTTTTATGCTTCTTCTCTCTCTTTATTATTTTAACATGGTATCCAGCTTGAAGGTTTTCTATGGTTGAAAAATAGGGAAATCTTCCTCCTTATCCTTCCTTCATGCTATTGTGAGCATCTTAGAGAAGCTTGATGGTTCTATCGTCCTGCTATGGCAGTAACTGGTTGAGTCATGCATCAAATTGCATCTTCTTCAACATTTTGGGATTAATCAATCATTCCACTTTGTTTTCTCACTGAAACTGATCACGATGCTAGAAAAATAAATCCAACATACAGTCCTTGAGAACAAGATTAAAAGTTGTTGATGTGGTTGCATTCACGTCATCACGATCTTTTCTTCCTCATGTGGTTGCAAATGGGTGTTTACTCTTAAATAAAACTTGAGTGACTCTTGGGAAAGATAAGGCTCTCTCCTAGTATCTATAGACTTTACACAAACATATGGAGTAGATTATTTTGAAATTTCACCGATAGCAAAGCTAAACACTATTTGCATTCTCCTATCAATTACAACCAACCTTGACTGGCCGTTAACTTGGTTGGATGTAAGTATTTCATAATGGAGAGCTCAAGGAAGAAGTGTATATGGAACCTCTCCACTCAGGTGTGTTGGAAAATTTGGGAATAAGGCATGCAAGCTGAAAAAAAATCCTCATATGGTCTCAAACAATACCATAGAGCCTCGTTTGAAAGATTCATTGGGTTTGTAAAGGGCCTGGGTTATAATAAAGGTCAATCAGATGACACATTATTCATAAAAAAAATGTCTACAGTGGATGACATAACATTGACAGGATGATTTATTTCTGACATATTGAAGCTGAATCTAGTTAAGGAATTTGAGGTTAAAGACCTTGGACAGCTTGCGTACTTTCTTGGAATGGAAGGGGCAAGATCAAAGAGGCATAGTAGTCTCACAGCCAAAGTAAATCTTAGATCTCTTGAAAGAAACTCGAGTGACTTATTGCAAGCCTTTCCGGACACTCCTATAGAAGTCATAACTAAACTTAGAGATGTTAAAGATGGTTTTCCTATAGACACAGGTCGATAACAATAACTGTTTAGGAAACTTATCTACTTATCCCATACACACATATGTTGCTTTTGTTAGCATGGTGAGTCAATTTAAGCATTCTCCAAACGAAGAAGACCTAGAGGCTGTGCACAAAATTCCTAGGCACTTCTAGGAAAGGTTTATTCTTTATAAGAGAAGGATTGAGGTATATACTAATGCTGATTAGACACATTTTTATGGGGTAATCTTGTCACATGGAGGAGCAAAAAACAATATGTTGATACAGTAGTAGTGTTGAAGCTGAATTTAGAGCAATGACTCAAGGAGTATGTGAGATCTTAGGGTTGAAATGTACTCTAGAGGAGCTTGAAAGACAAATAGGAATACCCTATAAAAATGCGCAATACCCCTAGATTGACCTTCTATTAGCAATAGGACATGTCAAATCAACATTAGTGTATACCTCATTCCCTCTCTTCTAAAGATTAAACTTGAAGGGGAGTGTGGATTAATTAGGAATAATAAGATTTTATGATTCAAAATATGGAGATATGGATAAATTAGGAATGTTATATTTGTCCAGATTTGTAAGATCAAGTTACGGGAATAAATTTGAATCAGATCATATTTATTTTAAAAAAATTCTCTACGTTATTTTGTTTTCTTTTTTCCTCCTCATTCATAGGAGATTTGTTTCCAGTTAATATGTTCTTATTTTCCCTTTTTTGTAGCAGATTGGATCTGCATAAATATAAGTTGTACCCTCTATTATTAGAATTAATTCAATAAGAGAGTATTTTTATACAGAGACAAGCAGGGAAAAAGTTTTTAGTTATTTGGTGGGTGTATCTGGTTGGAAGGAGTGCTTGTATTTGCTAGAGTTTCAATATATTTAATAACTTATCTCTGTTATGGAATGAGTATTTCTGCTGTGTATTGATAAACATGGTTTCAGGCCAAGAAAGAAGAGAGAATAGGGAAAAGCTGTCATAAACTTAACAAAGGTTTATATTGGTAATGATGAGAAGGGGGTGAGTATACAATGATTACTCAAACAAACTACATATCTGATGCTGTGCCTTTGGCTTTTCAACAGTAGGTGATTTTCTGAAGTATTTTTTGTCTCTTATCCATCTAATCTCATTGACTTTCACCAATGCCATTTTAACATCTAATTTTTTAGACACTACCCAAAATGATTAGAGTTATTACAAAGGTATGGGCCAGTGCCCGAGGCTCACGCATAGTTAAGGCTTTGGAGGGCATACGTGCACCCTTACCCTGCAAGTGGAGGGACTATTTCTAACATTTGAACTGAACCGTGAGATGACAGGACAACCTTACGTTTGCTTCAAGTCTCACCCTTATCATGATTACAGTTATGCAACTAAAAATTATAATAGAACACATACAAATGACAATGTAGAGTTTACGCATTAATGGAGCCTATTCATCGATTCAGACATTAATTGGCTTATGTGTTATAAAATATAAATTTGCAAAGTTCAGTGAGTAGCAATTAACAACTATAGAGAGGAATTGCTAGTAATTGTATGATTTGTACACACAAGAGTACTCGTATTTATAATGAAGATATTCATTAATAAAGAACAAAATCAATACCTAATAATAGGAAATATATGATAAGATATTTCCGTATCAAATCATATCTATCTCCCTATTTAATGTAATGAAATTGTATCTCTGTAACAACAACAAAATATAATATATTAAAATAGAGGTCAAAATAAAATTTACCTGTTGCCTCATGTCATAATCCCGCAATATGGGGACTAATCGTTCCTTAACCTGTGAAATAGACGTTATGAAAATTGCAAGAAAAGATAATTTCGAGAGATGCATAGCAGATTACAAAACATAGAATGAAATCAATTCCCTACAAATTTCATGTAAAATTAATCTGAACACGGAAGGAAACTGAAAGTAGCCACTTGTTCTCCTCCCGACATTAAATGAACTTACAAATATATTCTAAAACTCATTTCATATACACAACTTCGTGAATCCAGTACACAACACCGAGCATATAGTTTCTTGACCATGCTATAAAGCAGAAAGTTCCTTCTTTTTCTTGCAAAGCACTATAAGGATTAAAAATTTCCATCATTTTTTTATTCACATCAATGACATGACCAAAGGAAGGTCTGTTTTTTACGGGGTTTTAAGTGTAAACTACAAGATAGGATTGGCAAAAGGGATTGGTTCATTGACATTAACCTGGCTGACCTGGAAGAAAGTGGGTCAAGTCAACACACCCCATTTTAAGGGGCAGTTGAAAAAGCTAATTGCAATTAATTAAATCAAAATCATAAAATAGAAGTAACATTTTTAATTTGTTATACAAGTTATAAAAGAAAAAACACACACACACAACCCAATGGCTTCGAGATATATTGGAAGTGGGCTGAACAAACCAAGTTAAGAACGTTAATGGATTATAAAATCCGACCCAACCCACAAAATAGAAAGGTTGGGTAGGTCAACCCATAAGTTAAACCCGTTTTGCCAGTACTAAGACGCGCTTTTATGAATAAGCACAAGCAGAAAATATGTTGTTAAGTAGATGCAAGAAACTTCAATAAAGCAAACGCCGAAAACCTTCCCTTTTGATATTATCTACTTATCTAGAGCTTAAAAGGAAAATTTATCTATCTTAAGACTGGTTAATGATGCTTAAACTTACTTTCAGAACGATTTCTCCCCTGGACATCACTCCTATTTCTATTCCAATTAAAAAAAAAAAAAAAAACTAGTTGCAATGCAAATGAATGTAGGCATAAATAAGAAAAAGACAGGACAAAAAGAGGGAAGAAGAAAGTCTTACAAGAGATGGAAACTTCAAGTAAATGTTGATTGCAAATGTCTCTAAGTATTGTCGAACAGCAGGTAAGTTATTTCTCTGCAATAGAATAAAAAATATAGTTACACATATAGCATTGGCAAGAGTACAACACATGTAGATAACAGCAAGAAAAATGGTTGTGCAATATTAAATTTAAAATTGACAATTGGATTTGTAGTAATGGATGTGTTTTCCATTTTTAGTCAAAAGTGATTTCTATTTAAATAAAATGCAATGCAAACGTAATTATAGACACCAATACAAAAAGCTAAGTATGCAACACACAGAAAGATGAGGGAAGCAAAAAATGGCAATTGTCTTAAAATTCAATAAATAAACAAAAAAATACATCTAATAAAACCTACCAATGAAATTTTAATAAAAAAAATTAATAACATGGATAGGCGTACAGGAGATCACAAAGATATGCTTCCCACACAATTAAATACACAACATATTAAAAACTACAATAGGAAAGAAAATATTAAAGAATGATAACATGCAAAGTCCACTTACATTAAGAGATATGTACAAGTATTCTACAATTTTCCCAACCATATCTTCCTCAACAAAAGGTGACAATACACATATTATTTGCCACGCACGTATTTTGCGTCTATGAATCTGGAACAACAATGTAATAAATTGAGCAAAATGAGTTATAGCAAAGACTGATTGATAAGGGCAAATATTCAACTATTAATAAAAAAATTCCCATATCATGCCATATTCAAACCATTGGAATTAGAAAATCTTTAGAGACATTCTCAGAGACATAAGGCTGGCCAGTATAATTCCGGTTACAGAGAAACAAAAGGTCACAGTTGCTATCATCAGCTTGGTAGTTGTCACCAAGATATTGTCATGGCAATATGGGTTTGAAGTCCAAGTTAACAAATGAGATAAAAAAACATCTCAAATGGTAGTAAGTAAATTTGGGAAAATATGCTATAAAATTATGATACTACACTGATGCCAAGTAAAATTACTCAGTACTAATTGTTAGAAATTTAATTTTTAGGTTATGATTTATAATGAATAAAAGTTTTGTTATTGTTGAATATACATTGCATGTTAGTCAATGCAGTGCCACATTTTAGATGACTGGAGGAGAGCTACGGATTTGGTGCACCAAAATTTAAAAGCAATTTGTCTTAGTGTTTCAGGGTGTGATGATGCTGGATTTTTATTAGTGGATAGACCTCAGCAACTTGATACCAAATAAAATCTATGGAATGTAATTGTTTGAACTTGGTTACTCGGTAGGATGATAAGAATTAATTATCTATGAAACAATGACTATAATACAGACCCCAGACAAGACTCAGACACCAAGACATCGATTGTGGGCATGTCTGAACAACACAACAAAAACCAAAACTAAAAATTCAAGACCCATATATCCACCTTCTAAAAACATGGTTGAGCATTGGAGATGAAAACAAGATTTTGAGTGCAAAGATGTTTGCATTCAATGGAAGAAAGAGTTTTGTGTTGTGCTTTATGATATCTTAGATATAGGGATGGCAAAACGGGTCAGTCCGCCCCGTTTTCGCCCGCCCAGCCTTTGGCCTGCCAAAAACAGGGCAGGGCGAGCTAGCCCGCTATAGTCATGGTGAACTACAGATCTCGACACACCACTGCCAAAGGGTGGGCTGGCTAGTAGGCGGACTAGCTGGTCATATTTTTTATTTTATTATTTTTAAATCAAATCTTTTAATAAACTTACTAATAAAATTATCATTGTCAACAATTCAATATATATATATATATATATATATATTTCAAGTTAATAATATAAATTGATATATTATTTTAATAAATTATATTTTAGAACAATTAAATTAAGATAAAATTTATATAATAATAAATACATGTATGTAACGATAAAAATTTATTAAATCTTTATTTTTTATATTGAAAAGTTTAAAGATATTTTCAATATGACACTTTAAGTGAGAAGTTCCATATTTTTTTCCACCAATTATGTATTTTGTGTTACAACCCTTACACACGACTCTTTCTTTTCCATCCTTACACACACCAATCCTAGTAAAAAAATTTCAACAATCAGATGTATTAGATTTATCCTTCTTGATGTCTGACTTAACATTTTCTTATTCATTTTTATTTTTAATATGTTGAAACTTAGCCTCATTCTCAATTTCATTTTCATTGATGACATCATCAAGATCACAAGTAAGTTTACTAATTGAACCATCCATTTCCTATTTAAAATTAAAAAAAAAAAAAACTTCATAATTTTTTCTTACTCAGAGATTTCAACAAAAGCACAAAAATATAAAAACATAATAAAATGAGTCATGAGAGAGGAAAATACTAGGAGAAAAAATGAAACCTTAAGAAAATAACAAATATAAAAGAGAATAAAAAAGTATGAGGTATATATGGTTTTTACCTTATGAAGAAGGATGAGCAAGAAAGAGATGATAAGTAAGAGGAGAGGAGAGAGAGAAAGAGGGATTTGTGCTTGAGAAAGGAAAGTGTTTCCCGTAATGTGAGTTTAAGTAATTATAAAACTTTTTGAATTCTCTTAGTAGAAATACTGAGACTTTATGAATTCTCTTTATGAGACACTGGGGCTTTTAGAATTCTCTTTTCATAAATCTTTATATTATATATTGTCTATCTGACTCATTGTATTGTATCACAATAAAAAATTAAAAAAAAATTATTAGTCAAATGGGCCACTAGCCCGCCCCGCGGGTTGGCCCTGTGGGTTGACAGGCTTGGCGGGGCGGGCCAAAACCTGCTCACGAGCTAAAAGTACTAACCACCCCGCCATACTATGGCGGGCCAGCCCGCCGACCTGATCTATTTTGTCATCCCTAATTAGATCATTTAAATTTTCAAATAATTTTTAATATTTATAATATAAGTAGACTTTTTAGTGGAAAAAAAATCTATGATAGGAGTCTTTGAGAATTGTCTAGCCCAATGTAGGTGTTGGTTCACTCACTTGGTCTGGGTCTATGTCAAGTCGGAGCAAGAAGAAAAGAAAAAATAAAATTGCAACATGGTAATGGTATGTATTTGTGTTGGTGACCAAACAAAGACTGACACATCGACACACAATTCTGAAGGGGTGTTTGAGCATTAGAAAAGATGGCCATAGGTAGTAGTACTCGTAACTGCATTTTGGCATTGAACATCTAAGGTGATGCAGGATCATGTTCTATTTTTATGTTTTTCATTTCAGTTCATTTTGTTTTTAAAGAGTTTTATATGCTACTGTCAAAGGACTCGGGTATGACATCAGGATCCCTTGACTACCTTGATAAAACAATCAATAATAATTCATATAATTCAAAAAAATCGTTTTTGTATTTTCCATTTTTTTTTCCCACTTTCTTACAATACATGGCACCCTATAACAACGGTCATTTCCAAAATAATTTCAAACAGAAATAAGGCAGGCTGCTAAAGACATTTCCAATTCATCAAGCTAAACAACGAATACTTACAGCACTGTACTTTTTGTATAACTCCTTTGCAAGATCTTTATCATTCACCTATATCAACAGATCTTATAAATAAAGGACTTTTACAATATCAGCAAAATAGAACCTCATAGCAGCCCAAACCCAATACAAAACATATGTCGGTCTTCAAAAATACTTTAGTAGCAAAAGCTACTTCAGAATTTAGCATGGAATTTATTTCTTAACATCAATTCTTAATAATAATAATAATCTATTACCACAGAGTCAAGAAGCTCTAGTAGAAATGATTTGCCAGATGCTTGTGCCGCAATACAGTCTGCATCTTCATTTGGTGACCCTGCCATTCTAACCAAGTTTGCCAACTTGTAAAACAGAACAGCAACTGATACGCGTGCATACAACTCTGTATTAATAAATGCCTGATAAGAGAAGTGCCCAATTATTACAAAATCATAAACTTCATGATTTTTTTTCTTAAAAAATATAGTTGCAATTAATGGTAATTAGCATATGTTGTTATGATAAAAGTATTAAATTTTTTAACAAATTATGGTACATAAATAGATAATTAAATTAGCCAAATCTTTTAAATGTTGAGTAGCTCACTTCAGTCAGCTCAGGATCAGGACTACTGGCTAGTATAGACACTTCCAGTCTAGCATCATTGTTGTCAGCAAGTTCCGCTTCAAAATCTTCATCAAATGCAACTGAAAAAGATAATCTCAAATTCATATAATAATCTTATAGTACAAGAACAGTCAGCCATGTAAATCACATGCTCATACAGAAAATTAACATATTTGGTACCTGATCCATAGAGAGAGAGCAACTTGAGCTCCTTCAGGTAAAACTTTATAATCCTAGGATTTAAGAGCCATAATCCTGTTAAGTGCAATGCTGCAAGACGAATTGTACGAGGACTCTTTGTGCCCTCCTCAAGAAGATTTACAATAAACTGAAAGCCAGACATTAAAGGAAATTAGTCACTATTTGCAAGAAATTGGCAGTGATAATACTCATGAAATTTAAACAAGAGAATACTTACCCACTTCAAGGGTCCAGGTGCATTGTCTGTTTGGTGCATGTTCTCATCATTAAATACCAAAGGATGCAAAACAGATGACAAAAGAGCAGCAATTGATGCAACCCTTCGTTTATTACAGCTTATATGCAATATCCACGAGGAACGAACCAAATTCCACATCATCTAATCAATGATAGCAAGTCATTAAGATCAGTGAACACTGTTGGTGGGTTTAGGACAGGATAAGTACTCAATCCATGACTCTAATTCTAAATCAATAAACCAACGAAAGTGATGCAGATAAAGCAAGAGGAAGTGAGACAGGCATAGGGGGTATAAGATACATAGGTATTAAGAATTCACATGTTCCGTATGGCAATTGTTAGTAGCCTTGTTTCACTTAGGAATAGTAACATATTACAAAGACATTTCACATGCATACAAGCATTGGACATCTCATACAAAGAGATAGGAACTTGGGTATTGTGAGATGCCCAAATCCCATACCAAGTACCATGGGATGTTCAGTAAATTATTTAAATGTTTGGTTCCCTCCCCTTCACAGTTAGCTTTAAAGGATGGGTTCCATAGTGCTTCAATGTCTCAGAAAGGATAACCCACAGAGGGTTTTGACAGGTTGAGAACTTTGAGTAAAGTGTCATAAAGTGAGTCGTGCTACAATAAAGGATGGTATTATGTTATAGCACGGTATTATGGGGTTCTGAAGTCTTAAATTGAGTAGTATGGGATGCTCAGTGGAGTACTTAAGTACTTTATTATCCCCCTCCCTAACAACTAGCTTTCAAGGATGAGATCCCTATGTGCTTAGATGCTTATCTTATCACAAAGCGAGTTCGGAATGCTAGTGGTAGTCTCATTTACATACCACACAAACTAAACAACCAGCTATAAAGTAAACCTGTGTGTCAATTAATTGACAATGGGAAACAACTTTTGACGTCACTTTGGCAACCAGCTCAAATAGCATTCTGAGTGATCTCAGCATGGGTAAAACACAACTTTCTCCAGCATTTTCAAGGCTGCAAAACATGACATGGAGTAAGATAAGCTTCATAAATACAACAAGATACAGGAAAAAAAAATATATATATATATAGCCAACAATGTAAAGAACTCCCACGGTATATTAACAAAAAATTAATGTTTGGGGTCTAATTCATAAATAATCCTACATTCAACATAAATCGCACAAAAATCACCGTACATTTGCACACATGCATAATTTCATCTGGATCATTGTATTACTTACCTCTCTACAAGATCACCAAAAATGCATTTTAGAGTGTCATTTGAGAAGAATGTGTGGTTTCCCTCCAAATTAAACCCATTCTTGAGAGCACATGATGGAATTGACAACAAAGATTCTAGGCACGCCCACTGAATACATTAATAAATCAGTTAAAAACTTCTAATTTATTGCTTAACATCTTAAAACTAGTAAAAACAAACCACTGTAACTGCTAAAGCTTTATGACCATTAAATGTTGGAACAGGTTAGTTAATATGTCAGGACATAGGTAATGAATTCAGAACATTTAAATTAGAATAACAAAAGAGAAAGTAAATATAAAAATTCAGACTGCAATATACAATCTAAAAATCAGATAATATGGCATAAAAACATGTGCCTTATGGCAGAGAGAAAGAATGGAACCTTTATATCCAATAAAACAGCCCTTCTACTTCTAACCAAAACTCCTGAACCAAGGAGATCATTGATATTTTGAATAAAAGACAGGCACACATGATCTAACTGAGGTCTTCCTTCTGTCTCTGAAAACAATTGCTCACTTTCATCAACAAGATCAAGAGAATGAGGAAAGAACGTTGAAGCAAGAACTTTGAGAACAGAAACTAATGCTTCATATGCTGCAAGGGAAATTTCAGCTCCCATCTGCATTAGACATACATAGCAACAACAAGTATATCATCGCACACTTCAATAGTGACAGGAATTAGAAACATATCATTTTTATAACAGATCATTTTACTAATATATGAAAGCTACCTCTGAGCAAGAAGTTGAACACCTAGTAGTCCTCCAGAAGAATTGCCACATAAAAGTGAAAGCAGAGTTATGTGGAGCATATCTTCTGATTTGGTTACACCACAAGAAGATCAATGATATAGCCTTTACTGACATCATCTGTTTGGTTAAACATGGAAAAATCAGACAAGATGCAAAGAAAAAAGGTGCATCTGATTGTAAAAAAAGAAGAGAACAAGAAATAATGACTGATTAGTAGAAAAGTTCATCAATTGATAATGACTGATTAGTGATGAGTAGAAAAGTTCATGAATTGATAATGATATACCACATGGCTATTATTAAAAATGGAAAAATGTCTAATTTAATCCTACAAAATCAGTTTGTAAGGTGAGGTTCAAGGTAATCAAAATCTAGATCTTACTTAAGATCAGAAAGATAAGTATAAATCGTCGAAATATCGAAATAATATTTATGAAATCCATATATATGCCAAATATTTAAATTTCAATTTGATATGATGATAAAAAAACAATATAACAAGCACAAAAAATAGCGCTGCAAAGTAAGAGGTTTAAGTTACAAATTATGAGAAGAGAAAGAGCCTATAGTATTTTTTAAGTTTTTAGGAAAAGGTTCAAGTATTGTAAGTTTTTAATACATATAAGTAACAATTTTCCACTAAAAGAATATTTCTTGCAGGCTTTTAAGTCATAGTTGGCAGCTACACGAGACAAGAAGAGGAAAAGTCTTTTATTTTTTTTAGGCTGAAAGTGAGTGCATATTGGGCTTTAGGGTTATTAGGCTAATGAGGAGATTTTAACCTAATTAGATTTAGGTCACACATGGAAGAAGATAGACAGTCACGCACTTGCAGCTGCAACACATACAGTCACCACACCCAGCACCGCAGCTGCTGCACACATGCGACGCCAACGCAGCCACTGCACCCATGCAATAGGGACATCGTCACCCACGCCAACAGCGTTGCACCCATGCAAATAGAGATGCCGCATCCACATGGACAGAGATGGCATACCCACACAAGTCTTGATCTTCAATGACGATCTCATGCAATCTGTAAAAATCGCTATTTGGTGGCACATGAAGTCGAAGAGAAAAAAGATTGTAGATTTGTAGGATCTTATGTTCTAAATCATGATTTTGACTACCATGGTGAGGTTTGTACCTCAATTATATATTATAAGTTTTTCATGTCTCAAGTCAATGTGGGATATCCAATATTTACATTGAGGAATGAACATCTCGAGTACGTGAAACTGAATATTAAGGTTGATCCAATAGCACCCCGATAACAGGTGAAGCGATAGGCCAATTATAGGCTTTGATACCATCTTAAAAATGGAGATACCTAATTCAATCTTACAAAACCGGCTTATAAGGTTAGGTTTGCACCTTAATTATATATTATAAGTTAATCATATCTCTAATTGATAATCTCCAACCGTTACCACACCAAAATACTACATGTAAACATGGTTATCGAACTTGTGAGTCAACTCGATGACTCGAACAAGTTAGCAAGTCCAGTGGTTGATCACGAGTGAACTCGTGAGTAGACTCATTTTAGAGTAAACTCAAATTCAAACTCGGTGGACTCTAAGCAAACTCGCGGGTGTGAGGGTGAGTGACCGAGTTCGAAAGAAAAGACACACTTACATAAGTTTCAAACATTAGATTTGGATATGCGGTGTGTTTTCTCTGTTTTTCACACTCCTCGTTCCTTCTCACTATTTGTCGTTGCACTACATTGGTCGTCGTCACCATTGCACTCCATGGGTCGTCGTCACCACTGCACTGGTCACGTTGCTCGTTGGTTGCATTGTTCTCATTGGTCATCGTTGATGGTAGTCTACTGCATGAACATTGGTTGGATAGGGATTATAAATTTTTGGGTTCTTCTTCGTATGGATTAGGGATTTTATTTTATGTGCTTCTAGTTCTTTATCTCACCATTCTAATTTTGGTTCATTTTTTTTTTAATCTATATAGTCTTATTGAATTTTTATTTTTTTTAGTTATAAAGATTGAAATTTGAAAATGTCTAGAATTGGTTCAAATTCTCTTGAAAACAATATAGCTACACCCTCACTTCCACCTAGAAGTAAAAATGCACCAGGAAATAGAACAGATATTGGGTAGAAATATGGAATAGATGTTTTGGGCAATGGAAAAAAAGTGAAATATAATTATTGCTCAAAGATATTCAATGGAGCAATTTTTAGATTTAAGCATTATCTTGCTAGAACTAGATATGATTTTGAACCTTGTGCTTAGATACCAAAAGAAATTAAAATTTTAATTATAAAGTTGTCGCAAAAGCTAAGCATGCCTCAATGAAGAAGAGATGGTTGAATAGCATTGAGGAAATTGATGATGAACCAAGTGAACAAAGTCAACAAAGTAGGATATTTAAAGATAAAGGAAAGGGTAATAAATTGAGTGATGGAGTTCAAGCTACTCTAAATCAATTATACAAAAAGGAGATAAAAAAAAACAAATAGATGCTCAAGTTGCTTGAATTTTTCTACACAAGTGTCATTCCAGTCAATGTTATTAGAAATCCAACTTTTGCAAAAATATGTAAGACGATTGGAAGATCTGGTATTAGCTATAAACCTTCATCTTATCATGATGTTAGAGAGAAGCTTCTAAAACAAACAGTGGAAAAAACTGATATAATTCTTCAAGACTATAGGGATGAGTGGAAGAGAACAGGTTGTACAATTATGTCTGATGGATGGACAAATAAAAAAAGACATTCAATTTATAACTTTCTAGAGAACAATCCCTAGGAATGTGCTTCTTAACTTATTAGATACCTCAGACATCTTAACAACTAAAGATAAGATATTTAAGATGTTAGATGATGCGGAGGAATTTGTAAGAGAAGATAACGCAGTCCAAGTGGCTACTAATAATGTTGCAAATTTCAAGGCAGCTAGAGAATTGTTAATGCAAAAACAAGAACATATATATTGGACACCATGTACTGCCCACTATATTGATTTAATTTTTGAAGATTTTGAGAGACGTTTGAAGGTCCACCAAGTAACTATCAAGAACAGAAGAAGGATCACCACCCACATTTATGGTAGAACAATGTTAATTAGCATGTTGAAGAAGTTCAAAAATGGAAGAGACTTGATAAGGCCTGGTATGACTAGATTTGTCACAACTTATTTGACTCTAGCTCGTCTTCATGTTGAAAGCATTATTGATGATATTTAGTTCTCAAGAGTGGAAAACAATCAAGTTTGGAACCTCACAGGAGGGGAGAAAAGTTTAGAACATGGTATTAGATAGTCCCTTTTGGAAAAATGTAACAACATACCTAAAAGTTGTTACCCCTCTTATGGTGATCCTTTGAGTGGAGGATTCAAATACAAACCCACAATGGGTTTTATAGATGAGGAGATGGATTGTGAAAAGGAGAAGATTAAGCACAACTTCAATAACATTAAGAAAAGGTAAAACCTTATCTCATTTAGAATTTAATTACTTAATTTATAATCAACTTCTAATATAGCAAAATTTGTATTTTCGTCGCTATGAACCTATTTGAAAAATCATTGATGAGAGGTACGATAATCAACTCCATAAGCCTTTGCATGCAACAGCTTATTACCTTAATCCTCATGCACTATGAGCCTAATTTTAGAAATAATGATTATGAGGTGAAAGAAGGGTTGTATACATACATGAAAAGATTGATTAATGACGCTACAGAAAAGAAAAAAATCAATTTACAACTCATTGACTTTCATTATGCAAAAGGACTATTTTATATGGAAGATGCAAAGAATTGTAAGAAAGCTATACTTCTTGGATAATGGTGGGAGATGTTTGGGGATGGAACTCTAGAATTGAAAAGGTTTGTTATTCGAGTTTTGAGTTTGACTTGTAGCTCTTATGGGTGTGAAGATAATTGGAGCTCATTTGAAATGGTAATTCAAGTTTATATAATTATTTGTATTTTTTAATTATCTTGGTTTGGTTTATATATTTATTAAAACTGCTTCTTCAATTATAGATTCATACAAAAGGAAGAAATTGTTTGCACTAGAAAAAGATGAATGATTTGGTTTATGTCATGTATAACTTGAAATTGAAAAATGAACAAATTGGGAGAAGAGTTGGTCACCCTTTTGATGATATTAAGTAAGATGATGAATGAATAACTGAAGAAAGACATAATGTTGAGGTTGAGCAAACTCAAGTGAAAGGTGACAGTCGTAATGTTGACTTAGTTGGACCAAGTTTATATGATCTAACTCTAGATGTACTTGAGTTTGATAATATAGTTTTTGATCCCAATGTGGAATTGATATTATCATGCTTATATTTTTTGTTAAATTGGTATTTTCAATATGAAATAGACTATTACAAGTCGAGTGTACCGACCTCCCATGAGTCCACATAGATTCTCGAGTCTAATAATCATGCATGTAAGCATCGATGACGATATTCTATAAAGGAAAGATCAAAATTACAATTATAATAACAGACCTAGAAAGCTCTAGAGATAACTCCAATATGGAAGTTAGCCCAAATTTTTCGATAGAATGGTTCTTAACATAATACCACCTAAATCCCCCCCGCCTCTCTCTCTCTCTATATATATATATATATACTCAAATTGTGGGTCATAATTCTTATTGAATCCCAAGATTTAGGGGAAATTCGAACATATCTACATATGATTTATGGTGTTCAATGTCAAAGATTTACACTAGAAATAGAAAAAACTATTAGTTATATCTAAGTTTGTGATGTCTTTATTTTAAAAGAGTACATCCATATGCATTGAATGAGTGAGTGAGTGGCAAATAAATGTGGAATAATTAAATAGGATAAGTTCACAAGTGTTCTTTCAAATTACTTTCATTTATAAAATTAAGGTCAAATGACTTTTTATTTATTTTCACAGGAATTGGTGAAAAACTAAAACATATAAATAGTTCATTGATAAAAAATTACATAAATTCATTCAATTATTATAAGATGCAAAGTCATCTAAGGTTCATCCTGAAATACGACTCAGTAGTTAGCCAAAAATGAATCTAATAGTAAGATTTAAATCGTGAATTGTAAGAGGAATAATATTTATCATTAGAACTTGATAATGTATTAGTATTTCATAGACCAGTGGTAGATAAGCCTATTCTATAGTTGAAATGTGTTACTCTGCTATAACCCATTTATAATCACAATATACTCATAATAATACAAATAATGAGAAAGAGATTCAGTATATTATGTCTGTTTCATTAGATTTTACAGATCTTATCATAAAGGATCAAGATTAAAATAAATGAGTCATGTGAGTTTATTTTAAAAGTTGCATGACTTTTTTATGTTATCATTATGTGCCTTAAATAAACTTTAAATCTTAACCATCCATGTATATGGCTGCAATTTTAAAAACCTGCCTCTCACTAAATATGGTCCACACCCACCCACACATATGTCTATATGTGTTGAAAGTCTACATGAATTATCTTTTATCTCCATTTATTGTAAACATTTTGATTCTATTATAAGTAATCAGGTGGAAATAGATTATTTTTGTAATCAAGAAACTATTATATCTCTTATCTAAATATAGGAATTGCAAATTCGTTATTTTCTTTTCATAGGGATTTGCCAGAACTACGCATCCTTTTGTCTGTATAAGAGGATCTGTTTTTTTCAATTAAGTGCAATATATTATTGTCTATATTATTGTGGCTACACAAATCAGCTTGAGCTTCTACACGGTTGGTTCCTCACAATTTAGAGGCTCTATCCATGAAAATTACTTGGTAAAGGAGTACCCAAATTACTCAAGGAATTCTATTAAACTGATTAGCAAGAAATAAAAATCAAAGCCAGCTGCATGCCGATCAAAATTTCAAGTTACTAGGGTACTACCTTGAATGAATAATGTTCTAGTATCCAACTCTTGATGAAATAAACAGTGAACCATAAGAAAAGTTTAGAATGTACTTACTGCCTGCAATACAGCAGTGGTAGCAGAAACTGACAACCTTCGTTGACTAGGGCCTCCAAGTTTTCCTCTCACTGCACCAGGCAGTACAGTGTCCTCTGTAACAACACCAGACCAGAAAACAGAACAAGATTGCTTGGCAAACTGAACCAGATCATGCTGCATTCCAATAAACATTTAAGAATCATAAAAAGTAGATGGATTACCACATCATAAGATAAAGAGGTACGGTATAAAATATGATACCAATAAATATAGAAATTCATCAGAAAGCTTCTCAGAGATGTCATCAATGAAACCAGAATCATCAACAACACCAGGTAAGGCATTCGCTATATTTGCTCTGGCATTATTACTAACTGTTCTTCCTCTTGCTCTGCGAAGCTCCAAAACCAAGCTCATGACAAGAATAATGAATTTGACTACTACGTATCTTGTATCATGGTTTTGTTTCAAAATATTAGTGCCGTTGTTTCTAATGAACTGCAATAACAGTTGTCCTTTCATTGTTAGATTTTAAAACATAAAATCGGTACAGGGATGCAAGTCATAAAATGATCCCATTAATCTCTTATAACAAAACAACCATATGACCCCTGACACCAATGATGATTTTTCTTTTTCCTGAAACAATTAATTTCTACTGGATTTAATAAAGATTAATCAAAATTACAAAGGTCAAAGGCAAAAGCAAACCACAAAAATAGGTTCCAGGAGATGCTCCTCCTTGGTAGCAAGGAAAAGCATTTTTGCCCATCTATTTGCTTCAGACTCCCATGCACTCAAGTCTTCATCATCATGAGTAAGAGAAACATCAACTGAAAGATTATTGCTGACAAAGCTCTGTGGGAAGTCATACAGACTCTTCCACAGCTTTATCTCATTATTACAGCAATTGGCACACCTATCCTTGTAACCACAACCTGAAAGCCATCTTTGCAGAGTCACTCTTGACTGACCTGGGAGGAAGAGGAACAGAATGGTCAAAATTTACTAACTGAAAATCCTACATCAGATTTTTTTTTCTAATATGGTTTAGATACACAAACATGAAATTTTTTTGTTTCAGAGCAGCCAAATGTGATGACAATTAATCTTAAGTCATATTTTTAGTGGATATCCTCAGATTCCAATCCCAACAAATACTGTAACAAGTAGTGCTCCTATGTCCAAACACACAAATTATGAGGATATCAAGAAGGAAGAACAACATCCGAAAGGACTTTATTTAGTAGATATTTTATAACGGAAGATTGTTAAATAGTTGTAACAAAAATACTCTGCATTCCATATTTGCATCCATTAAATTCCACCGAACCCTGACTAATTTTGGCATTAAATTATTAAACAACTAAAACTGATATATCTGAACTCATTAATATGAATGTTAGACAGATGGCTGAATCACGATAAGATATTCATTTTGTCAGACCCAAGACAAAGCACAAGGACATATATTTGGTCAGTTAGTTCAGTGTTGTAATGTATAACATATTTATGACACATTATACTAGAGATTTGTAATGTATAACATATTTATGACACATTATACTAGAGATTGGACAAATTCAAACGGTTCTATAAATTTTTCCACAGAACCATATTCTTTCAATTCAGCCAGTGGAAAGGATTTTCCTACTGTCACACCCCAAACCATGTCACTCATACTTCCACTTAGCTAATTAGATAATTATTCATGCTATACACAACTCTATTCTGGTATAGGTGATAGACATTAGCTAGGCTTCTGTGATTCAGTTATATTTTGATTATGACAGTTGTAACAAACAATGATGGGTCCAGAACCAGCTGCTGAGCTAGCACCCAGTTACATATAAACCTTACACTATCTCTTCTTCAATAAGAGATTTTGCTTGCTTTCTTCACTCTCTACATTTCAAATATGGTCTCAGAGCTTCTTGTTGATCCCACCATGGTCTGTCACAAGAACCAGTATCAACCCAGCCATCAAATTTTTGGCTCAAAGCTAGCCTTCTTGTTACTTTATGGCATCATACATTCATGACAGCAGCCTACTTGATCCCACGTGCCCACTGCAGTGCTGCAATTCAAATCAACATACCTCCATTTATACAAAACTGTGCCCGATTACAAGTTTCGCAAGGTCTTGGGCTGTGGTTGCAACCCTGAACTTCCCCCTTACAGCCTCAACTTCTGTACTAGTATTTTAACCACCAAAACAAGTTTCTGCCCTAGTAATTCACCAAATAGGATCATCTCGATCACAGGACAGCAGTTTCAACATCTTAACTACAATACAGTACTCATCCATGACATGAATGGTTGAATCCAATCCTTTTCCTTTTCTGTAGGATGAACTTCCTTGCTAATCTTCTGCACAACTGTCCATTCATTTTGTTATCTCAAAAAGTTCTCAGAATTTGCCTCCACTTACCTATATATTGTTAAGTGGTAAAAAGTTGATATAATTATGCTTGTAGTTATTATGAAATCACTTAACTTGTGTCAATTCTAATCTATTTTTTCCTATATTCTCAATATAGGATGAATTTGAAAATACCTTGATACAAGAGCAATGAGCATAATTGTCAACATAATTGAAGCAAAAACTGAAAAGAGGAAGAAGATTTTCAACATGGTAGTCACTCGAGCAAGATAGACTCTCGCTTAAACGAAAATTAGTTAAAACTCTCTGAAAGTCATTCGCTCAAGCGCCATTATTTTCGCTTGAGCGAAAATTAGTTAAACTTCTCTGAAACTCACTCGCTCAAGCGAGCACTTTTTTGCTTGAGCGAAAATTCTGAACTTTCGCTTGAGCGAAAGACGCGAGGCCCAAATTCTCCTATAAAAAGATAAGATGTGTTTTGAGAAGAGGGAGGAGGTTTTGGGAGAAGAGGCGCGACTACTGCTAGGGTTTTGTCCATTCTTCATCAATTCTTCACTTCTTCCTCAATTGAAGCATTGTAATGGTCACCATGAGTGGCTAACTTCATTCTCTTGGGATTAGATGCACTTCCTTTGAACTCTTTTGTGTCATGGTGATATTTTGAGATATTAATCTATGTTTTCATGTTGTTATTCTTATCTTTTGTGCCTTAGAATGATTTATTCTTGATGTTTGGGATATGATTGAAAAATATATCTTGAACCCTAGATCATGGTAAGAATATTTGTTACGTTAATTGCCAGGAATGGAATAAATGTATCAATTATTTAACACCCTAAACTTAATGCTGAAAAATCTCTTAATTGTGTGCGAAATTAACATTTATTAGGTTTTCTTATGAATTTCATGTGTGAGGAATCAACATGGATGATTTGAGTAGGTGGCATCAACATTGTTAGGTTAATTGATGATTTTAATTGGACATAGTCATTGCAAAAGAGAAAAAAAAAAAGAAGTCAATCTTAAGTGTCTTTAATTGATCTTTTCTAAACAATTTACAGTTCTTTGTCATTTAATTTTAATTCAACTCTATGTAAAATCCATTTTATTTTAATCCACTTAGTAAGCATATAATAGAGAATTTCCATTGAAACCGTTTCTCATGGGATCGACTTTTATTTAATCGAAATACTATATTGCGATTGATAATTTTGATACGCTTGTCAATATTCAACATACACTCACTTTGTGTTTTTCCAAATTCTTGCCAACACTGACCCCTACTTATGAGTGGTCTGATAAATAGTAGTCAATAGTATGCATTCATGTTGCTATCTCGCTAGTGCAGAGCAGAGGGCATTGCCATCCAACATATAGCACCTCCATGTGTCAAGTCAAATCTAAGGGGTGTGGCTATAGTGCCAAGTTGCACAACCAAAATAGTTGACAAACTGCACATTTTTGTGAAGATGGACCCAATTTAGATTTAACCATTTGAGATATGTTGTTTATGTATCTTTTAGCATTCTTTTTCAATGTTCCTTAGACTAGGGTTAAGGATTTGGGCTGAGGCCCATATCCATTCTATTGTACCCCTTTTTCCATAAATACAATGTATTAGTGTCTTTGGTCACTGTATCAAACTCTAAATAAGTTTTTTCAAGTTGATATTAAAGCGGGTAAGATCCCGCACTGATTTTGGTCGCCTTTGTCAGCTCCGACGATCGTCTCCATTTGGACAGGCAAAGGAGGGGTTTTGCTCGCCTCGAGGAGCACGACCCACCCTTGTAAGTCGCTCCTCCATCAGCTGCCCCACGCGTCGTCACGCACGGTCGTTCCGATGAGCTCTCTCGGATGGTGTGTCCCACGTGCCGCCTTCCAGTGACCGGAATCAAAGTCGATCACCTCCATTTGACTCGCTAGTGTCCTCCGAGTCCAGTGGTGTCCTTAGTTTTCTGGTTTAAGAACTATATGTGAAAATTTCCATGGCTAACCCTATTCATTGGCTTTATTCATTTTTTTTGGTTTAGATGGTCTCATCCTCTACCTTCACCTTCTCTGCTACTCCACCATAACAAGTACCATGCTCAACTGAAAAAATTACTTATTCTGGTCTGCTTCAGTTGAGCTGTGGTTTCTCGATCAAGGGCATCACGACCATTTGGAGAAGAAAGTAGACTCTATTTCCGCTGCAGAAAGATCTCAGTGGAAGAAAATAGACTTCCAACTTTGTGCAATCTTATAGCAGTTTGTGGAACCGGATGTTCTTGAGCTTCTCAGTTCATTCAAAACCTAGTCTTCTTTTTGGAAAAAGGCTCAAGACATTTTTGCTAATGATATTCAATGTCTCTTTTATGCAACTCAAAAAATGACCTCACTTAAGCAGATCAATCATGACATGATGGCTCACATCGCAAAAGTTAAAGTTATTGTGGAAGAATTAAAAAGGTTTTTTGTTACAAATACCTTAGAGGAGTTAAACACCAAACTCGATAAGCAATATATTGTAATTTTGAGAAATCTGCATTCTAACTTTGATCACGTGCATGATCAAATCCTAGCTAGCGATTATGTTCCATCAATGGATAATCTTGTCACTAGGTTGATTCGGGTTCCTAATCTCATGGTTGATGAGAATCAGGTGGAGATTGTTGAAACTTCTGCTATGGTTACCCCTCGGGGTCGAGGGGGAGGACGCAACAATCGAGGTGGATGTGGCAGTTTGAAAAATCGTCCTCAATGCACTTATTGTAAAAGGATGGGACACACGCAGAAAAATTGTTATTCCTTGCATGGCTTTTTTGATAAGACTGCCCATGCATCTAAATCGAAGAAGCCAAATTTGAAGATTTCTGGTAAGAAGTATCAAGAATTTTTGAAGTTCAAATCTCGAAAATTTAACAGTCAGGATCAATCCTCTTCAATACCAAGTGTTTCAACTACATGCATTTCTCAATCTGTGGAAGGTCAGAACCCATGGATTCTTGATTCAAGTGCCTCTGATCATATATCTAGTAATAGTTCATCATTTTCCTTCATGTCCTATCCTAATCATTGAAGCTAATGGATCTAAAGTGAAATCTCAAGGTGTTGGCCAAGTTCCTTTAATCCCATCTCTAAATTTAAATTTTGTTCTTTTCATTCTTAATTGCCCTTATAACTTGATCTCTCTAAGTCAACTTACTCATTATTTGAATTGTTCTATAACTTTTACTTTCAATTCTTTTGTTATTCAGAAACATGGTACGAGTCGTCTAATTGGAGAAAGACATGAATCACGTGATTTGTACTATCTAAAACAAAGTCCTTCGGTGTCTTGTCTGGTTTCTCATGCCCCTAAACTGTTACATGCTCATCTGGATCACTCAAGTCTATCTAAGTTGAAAGTGATGACTCCTAATCTTCAACATCTTCGGGTTTTAAAGTATGAATCTTGTCAATTAGGAAAACATGTTAGATCTACTTTTCTTAAACACTCTGAAACTCGATGTAATTTTCCTTTTTCATATATTCATTCTGATGTTTGAGGACAAAGTCGTGTTTCCTCTTTTGGCTATCGGTATTGTGACCTTTATTAATGAATTCTCTAGATATACTTAGGTTTATTTGATGAAAGACAGATCTGAATTTTTGTCCATTTTTGTGTCCTTTTTCAATGAAATTAAAAATCAATTTGGGAAGATAATTAAAGTTCTCAAAAGTGATAATGCTAAAGAATATTTCTCTGCCTCCCTTTCTTCTTTTTTATCTTCCAAAGAAATTTTACATCAATCAACTTGTCCTCACACCCCACAGCAAAATGGCATTACAGAAAGGAAAAATAGACACCTTATTAAGGCCGTAGACTCTATAATGTTGAATGTTAATGTCCTTATTCATCACTGGGGAGATGCAGTTCTCATTGCTTGTTTTTTTATTAATCTGATGTCATCTTCCTCTCTTAAAAATCAAATTTCATATTCTCTTAAAGGGTTAAGGCCATTAAATGTGTTTTCTTGGGGTACTCTCGCCTTCAAAAAGGGTATAAATGTTATTCTCTATCTTGCAAAAGATATTATATGTCTGCTGATGTCACCTTCTTTGAGGAATTTTCTTCCCCAATGAAAGATAGTTCATCAATTCAACAAATTCTGCCTACACATGTTTCTTTCCCAATTCAGTCTAGTAATAATGATTCACCTCCTACACCTTTACTAGTTCCTACAGATAATTGTGATTCAGATCCATCTTCATCAGTTTCTCATACCATGGATCATTCAACCTTACCTCTCACTTCTGATTTTGGCTGGCCTATTGCACTTAGAAAAGGTACTCATTCCACTCGCAATCTCTTTCCTATTTATAATTTTAAAGTTATCATCGTTTGTCTCCTTTATATTCTTCTTTTGTTGTCTCTTTGGCTTATATGTCTATTCCTAATAATGTTCTTGAAGCACTTGATCATCCTGGATGCGACAAGCCATGATAGATGAAATACAGACACTTGAGCACAATGGCACTTGGGAACTTGTTCCTCTTCCTCTTGGCAAAAAGGTTGTGGGTTGTAGGTGGGTGAGAATGCAGTTAAAGTTGATAATAATGATAAAGTGGATCGTCTTAAAGCTCGTTTAGTAGCTAAAGGCTACACTCAAATTTATGGCCTCGACTACGTGATACCTTCACTCTAGCAGCTAAAATTTTCCCTATTCGTCTTTTCTTTGTTGCGGTTCGTCATTGGCCCATTCACCAGCTGGACATTAAAAATGTTTTTCTTCATGGTGACCTTGAGGAAAATATTTATATGGAGCAACCTCCTGGCTTTGTTGCTCAAGGAGAGTCTGGTTTAGTGTGCAAGTTACACCAATCTCTTTATGGCTTGAAGCAGTCACCC